CAGTCTCAGCGGGCTTTGGCGCTGCTCCGCGAGATTTGGGAGGCGAAGCTGGTGCATGACGTCGTCTCGTGCAGTACTGTGATCAGCACGTGTGAGGCGGGTATGCAGAGGCAGCGGGCTTTGCCGCTGGTAGAGCCGCCCAAGAAGGGCCCCGAGAGGTCAGCATGACTATAAGTCACCTTGGGTTTTTGCAGGGTTTCAGCGTTCTTGCCTGTTCGGATTCTCGACTCAGCAAGACGGCTCCAGAGGCTCCTAAGATAGCCACAAAACGGCCGAAGAGGCCCCTAAGGGGGCCCCCAGACGGCACAAGAGGGTTTCAAGACGGCCCAAGAGGCCCCCAAGACGGCCTAAGACGGCCTCTCCGTAATCATTTTGGCTCAAGATCAGATCAAGCAGGTCGGCGCAAGCTATCTGAAGTACTGTTCACACGCCTACACACACTTGATAATCCCCGATAGGGCGAGCCCATGACGTTCAAGGGCATCGCCTGCCTCGTGCTGGTCGCCAGCTCTGCCCTGCCGCTGCAGGCCCTGACGCTGCACGATGCCGACGAGGCGCTGCTCCGGCGTGCCGGGCAGGGCGCCGCGGCGGGAGAGGCTGGCAGGCGCAGCGGTATGATAGACCTCCAGCACCTCGTTGACCAGCACGCCGCGTCCGAGGTCGAGCTTCACGCCCGTGCGGCCGAGACGTTCCGCAAGTTTGCCAGCAAGATGGCCAAGAGCGGGTGCAACTACAAAGGGGGCCTGCTGCCGTGTCCCAACGGCCACATCTGCCACTACACGGGGCAGAACGGCGTGAGGTCCAACGCGACTGTGGAGTACCGTGGGAACATCATCCGGACGGTCTTGTCCCCCGATCCCGACCAGGGACTCGATCAGCCAGACCTCGTAACATTCATGGGGGCCAGCACCGACGACGCTCCTGCAATGCTGACGGAAGTGCCAGAGGAATACAGGAGAACAGCGGACCCCGTGATGTTGAAGATGTTTTTTATTGAGGATACGGATGATGTGACCGAAGAGTGCCCTCATGACAGTGAGCGCGTTGAGACCATGGGCGACAGCACCGTGTCGTACACTATTAACAGCAGCACTTTCTCGGTTGAAACACGAGAAGCGACCACCAACAAGTTCATGGGCATGTCGTTTGATTTCGTCAGCGAGGCACCTGTGGGTCACACCCTGGCCTTCGAGATCCCGGCTGGGACGCAGATCGTTTGGGTCACCCGCGAAGAGATGGTGCAGGTGCTGCAGACGCAGGAGTTGCCCGCATCCGCCGAGGCACGGTTGGAGGCGCAATTACGCAGGGTTTATCAGTATCCTGGCAGTGTCTATCCTACACATGGTATTGACGACGTGCTAATGCAGAAAGGAAGCAGGAGGCGCAGGCGCAGGCAGTCAGCGTGTTCAGACTCAGAGACAGGGGCGATGATCGGAGGTGGCGCCGCCGTAGGCGTGGGTTTCTTACTCTGTGCGTTTACTTTCATTGGCTGCTTCGTGGGCGCGCCGTTCTTGGTAATGGCCGGGACGACGTCCATTACGAATGGTGCTTGCAGCTGCTGGGCAAGCAGTACTGCGGGTCAGACCGCCTGTGGATTGCGGTGATGGGGCGATGGCTGCCAGGGCGATGGCGGTCTCCGGAGGCAACTGGCCGGCCGGCTGGCGACCATTGGCTGGCGACCAGGAGCCTAGATGCGGGGCGGAAGTGCGTATTTCTGGCAGGCAGTACGGTCAGACTGAGGTATGAGATCGAGGTCGGCTCGGGGAGGGTACCCTAATGTTCTTCGTGTCCGTTGGATGTTCTTGTGTATCCTGGGTGAGGGCACCCTCGGATGTTTTTCAGTTTGGCAAGCGGTCTCATTTGATATTTATCTTTCCCCGGTCTGGCGGTAGTATACTATAGGGTTACTGCTCTGCATGGTTTCCAGGATCCGAGGGAAGCGGTGCTCTGGCGCCGCTTGGAACGCAGAGAGGCGACCAACCTTCTGCAGACCCACGGGAACCTGGGGCTCCATTCACTTAAACTTGAGTTTGAAGTTTCCCTCCACGCGAGGAAGCTTCGCTCCATTCCTATTTCAGCAAGTTTCAGCCTTCTCGTCGTCCTTACCTTCCTCCTCCTCTTCCTCCTCTTCTTCTCTCTTCTCCCCGTCCTCCCTCGCCGCATCCGTGTGCCTCCGCGGGGACGGGCAGCAGCGGGCAGAGAGGACAGGCAATCGCGGGCGAGCGGGGGTGCGGATGAAGGGACGACAGTGTGTAGGTTTTGAGACTTCTGACTTGGGCTCGCGCCAATTCGCACTACTGTCAGTGGCTGTCTGTTGAACAGGGCTTCTGTGCATCGCTCGCGCCAATTTCACAATTTTCCGTGGCTATCCGTTATCCAGGGCTTTGAGATTTCTGTGCAAGGCTCGCGCCAACTAGCACCTCTTTCAGTGGCCTCTGAGACTTCTATGCATGGCCTGTGCCAATTTGCACCCCTCTCAGCGGCTGTCTGGCAGAGTCTGGTTGCCACCGTCATCGATGGGATCTTGCAGGCCGCTGCACATAGATCGGCGCCATTCTCCCAGGCGACCAGATCGGCCACCAGATCGGCGACCATGCACGGCCTTTTCGACCAGATCGGCGACCATGCACGGCCTTCTCGACGTCGACCAAGATCGGCATCGACACGAGCATGTAAAAAGAATGAAGGTCTGTCTGGCACCGTTTTGAGGCTGCTGCGTGGGTTCTATCCCCCAGCATGCTGGTGGTGCGGTCCACGGGGGCCGCTGGATGGGGCCGTGCTCGGGATCCCTTCCCGTGGGCGCGGCTCCGCGCCGCGAAAGCGCGCCCGCGCGCCGGGTTCCTCGCCCTTCCCCGCGGCGAGCTCGATGCCGCGCGTGCGGGCGGCGGGCTCAAGAGGCGGGGGTCAAGGCAAACGGGGCTCAGCCAGAGCGCCGGATCTTGCAGGATCGTGCAGGGCCAGGGGCGCATTGACCCGGGTTCGGGTGCAGGATCCTGCAGGGTCCTGCAGGATCCGGCAAGGCCCGAGTCCCCGAGGAGGGCGATCATGCTGTGCCCGAGCACGGCCGTCCTCCCCCTCGGCGCGGTCTCCGACGGCGTAGTCGTTTCGCTTCAAGCCATTTTATAAAGCAAGTAGATCTCGTGGATCAGCACGTCGGCTCTGATGGCACCATGAAGAAAGTTTAGCCCGCAAGTCTTCACAGCTTTTTCGCGGATATTCGGGACGATCTTTGGGGCTTCTTGGGCCAAAGTGGGCGCTGCCAAGACGAAAAAGGCGTGCATGTCGGAGCTGTAAGTTTTCCATTGGGAATGGGACGATTTTTGCCCCTTGGGGCCCTCTCGACGGCCCTCTATGAGCACTCTTGGTCGACTTGGGGGCTTCCTATCCCGCCTCGAAGCCATCTTGGACCGTCGCGGGGTTACCCTGGGTTGCCTCGACGCTCTCTTGCATTGTCTCAGCGCTCATTGGGCCGTCTTGGGCCACTTTGGAGGCTCTGGAACGGCTCCTGGGTGCGTTGGCGAGCTCGCCCCCCGCCCCCTCCCTGGGGCCCCTCTCCTCTCATGCGATTTCTGGCCCCCACGGAGGGGGGCGAGGGGGAGGCGGACGTTCAACCATCCCTCACGCCTTCTCACCCTCGGCAAGCGGGGTCGGCCAGAAGTGCCCAAGACTGCCAGCAGCTGATGTGCAGATGTGGGAGGCGCGGGACTGTGAGCGTAAGCGGTGCGCCCGGCGGCAGGGCTCCGCGCACATAAATTGCGGCGGGCGTCCAGAAGTGACGCGCCCCTGTGCCGCAGCTTGAGACACCTCCGGGTACCCTTGCCGCAAAAAGATAAAAAATCGTGTGCGCGAGCGGGCCCCCCTGCAGCCGGCAGGAGGCGGGCGTCCAGCAGGGGGGCGTCTCGGGGTCGGGGAGCGAACTCGGCTGCATGCGCGCCTCCTCTGCCTTCTTGCGGGGGCCGCCGTGAGCGATCCTCTTCGAGCCCCGCTCACACGCCCCGCCTGCTCGCGTCACCCCAGGTCAGGATCGAGAGCGTGCCCGTCGGCCTCTGTGGCCCGCGACGGCGGAGGCCGCCTGGCTTTCTCAGGGGTCGGCCCAGGCCGCATTCTGGGGATGCCGTGGGCCGTTCTCGTCCCGATGTCGTTCTGCAGCAAGGGCGGATGGAAGACAGAACGAGAGAAAGCGAGAACAACACGGAAACGAAGACCCCTGTTCAGGTCGATCTTAGTTTGATTTTGAGCGGCTCTCGCGCGACGGCCGAGACCAGAACGCTGAGATGGCGAGGGCAGGGATCTGCCCGGTTGGCTGCTGCATTTGCTGCTTGTTGCTCCTCCTTCGTCCAGGGGGGCGCCGCTTGGCTTGGCCGGCTGACATGGCCTGTGCTGATCTTCTGGAGCGCGGCCCCCGCCTCCTCCCAATCCCTCTCCCTCTCCCTCTCCCTCTCCTCGTCCTCCTCGTAGTCCTCGTCCTCGTCCCTCTCGCCTCTCCGCCTCGTCCCAGTTCTCTTCCTCCCTCCTCCCTCCCCCTCTCCACTCCTTCCTCCTCTCTCCTTCCTCCTTCCTCCTCCTCCTCTTCCCTCGCTCCTTCTCATCGCCCTCGCTGTCTTCTTCGTCCTCCTCTTCCTGGCATTCTGCGGCTTCGCTCTCTGCGCCCTGGTGCGCAGGCGATGCTGGGCATCGAGGCCGCTGTGGAGCCGAGGCCCCAGCGCGGCCCCGCCCTCCCGCCGGACCTCTGACGGAATGAGTTTCGCAGTCCGCTGTCCCCAGGCGTCTCGACTCCCGACCCCTGCCCTCGCGGTTGGGGAGCGCCGTCTGAGCACCAGCGCAGATGCCGACCAGGCAAGTCCCGGGCCCAGAGGTCCCCTGTTTTGCGGACCGACCAGGGCGCGAGCCAAGCGGTGTTTTTGGCGCGTGCGTGGGCCGCTTCCGTGTCGATCCCGCTCTGCGGCAAAAGGGCGGAGCGAAGACGAGAAACGAGGGAAGGCGAGACCTTCTAACGAAAG